TAAATATTATAAAGATAATTTTATTTGTGTATTTGATTAATAAGTAGTAACACTAACACCATGTAACATTTTTTGTCGATATTTATGATAATATTTTTAAATTATAATTTAATTTTAAAAAATTATAAAAAATATACTTTTAAGAAAAAGAGCTAGCCCGGCAAAGCTCATAGCCCACGTACTTGTGGGCTGGGCCAACCATTTTCTGGCCCACACAAAAAATAGATTAGCTCGGCCTGACCCATCAAATTTTAAAGTCTGTATGAGTTAGTCTGAATGAGGTGGATCAGCTCATATTGACAGCTCTACAGAGAATTAGTGAAAAGATAGAATTTTCATTTCAGGCAAAAGGGATCAAGAAAGGACTGAGTTTGTTACTTGTCAATTCAGGCAAAAGATATATATAACTAGAAACACATGGAAATTTGTCATTTCTATTTGAATCATTTTTAATTTTCTTGTGGCACCAAAGGTAGAGTTTAGTCGTCTCATCCTAGATAAAAATACTAGGTGATTTCTTCTCATATGTGCACGAGTTATCAATAAAAAAAAAAGAACTGATTATTGAATTGTGGGATACATATGCAGTTTTCCAGAAGTCATTCCACCAAAAATTCCATACCAAATTTGTCCAGATCGTCATTCTATCATTTGGAGATCAAGAAGATCGATGGTCAAGAAGAAACTAATAAATTCTGAATAATTTTGTCATTTCGATGAGGGAATATATATGTGCATTATCTCATATTTTATTATGTGATGACAAAAATGATTTTACATTTCATGTTTGACCCACACAACATGCATTAAGCAAAAAGAGTGAAAATGTTATACAAAATTCAAGAAACGAATGTTAGTTTGGACCTTGGGGTATCATTTAATTTTGGACAAATTACTTAACTATACTCTTTTACTTACCTTAATATCCATTTATCCCTACTTATTTCAAAAATTTCAAAAATCCCTTATTTACCTATGTATCCCGTGCACAACGCTATGTATCCCGCTATGTGGAATGTATCAATCTAATGTATCCCGTGCACAACGCTATGTATCCCGCATGTATCCCGTGCACAACGCTATGTATCCCGCTATGTGGAATGTATCAAACTCTAATGTATCCCGTGCACAACGCTATGTATCCCGCTATGTGGAATGTATCAATCTAATGTATCCCGTGCACAACGCTATGTATCCCGCATGTATCCCGTGCACAACGCTATGTATCCCGCATGTATCCCGTGCACAACGCTATGTATCCCGCATGTATCCCGTGCACAACGCTATGTATCCCGCTATGTGGAATGTATCAATCTAATGTATCCCGTGCACAACGCTATGTATCCCGCTATGTGAAATGTATCAAACCTAATGTATCTCGTGCATAACGATATATATCCCGCAAACATCATTTTTAAGGAATTTTTGGTAAATAAAAAATTAAAAGGGATAGGATGTTATTTAGTACTTATAAGTTCCTATAATTTATACTTTAATTTTCTCAGGTCATTAGCTCAATGAGAGCAGGTGTCTAAGCTTTTGAGTTTGATCAATAACTTATGATATTTCCCTTACTATTATACTATGCAAGGGGCACATCTACAAATTTAGTTAATGATTATTCAATTTTAATATGTACCTAAAAAATAATAATTTTGATATATATATTTTGTATAAATTTTTATATATTTAATACTTCCTGTATTCACTTTTAATTGTCATGTTGCGCTTTTCGAAAGTTAATTTGACTAATTTTCAAAGTTAAATTAGATTAAATTAACTCGATATTTTAAACAAAAAGTTTAGATATTTAAAAACTATACGAAAAGTATTATAAATTACATTTTTTTGCATATCAAAATGATGAATAAATACATCTTAATATGTTAGTCAAAGTTTTTATAATTTGATTCTAAAAAAAGAAATTATGACAATTAAAAGTGGACGAAGGGAGTATAATTTTTCAGTAAAAAGATATTCAACTGGCCACTGACACTATACAATAAGTTAATGTTCAACGGAGGTCTATTTCACTCCATAAACTCTGCTTATATGTTAGATACAAGTATTATTAGTTTTTTTTTTCGAAAGGAAGTAAATCGCAAATTGAATATAATCAAATATCATCATATAAAATAAAATGGGAAGTGTGTTATTAGTTGTCATCGATACGAGTAATAGTAATTCAAATAAGAAAGAAAGTTAATTACTCACAAACAGTATCTAAGTACTCTCTTCATTTAAAAAAGAATGATTTCATTTTCTTTTTAGTCTGTTTTAAAAAGAATGACCTCTTTCTTTTTTTGATAACATTTTAATTTTAGTATTTCACGTGGCATGTTTAAGGCCACAAGATTAGAGGACAATTTTGTACATTTGATATAACTTTAATTTAGGGCCACAAGATTAAAGGACAATTTTGTACATTTGACATAACTTTAATTTAGGATCACAAGATTCAAAAGTTTTCTTTATTTTCTTAACTTTGTGTCAAGTGAAACTAGGTCATTCTTTGTGAAACGGAGGGAGTATAATGTAAGGGAGTTAAATAGGTAAGTTAGGTTGAACTTGAACAATTAAAATGAAATTGAGTAAATAAATAAATACTAACTCATTACTGGCCTGTCTAGTATTTACTTAGGCTGAGATAAATTGAATTAAGATGAGCTAAATTTAATTCATCCAACTCTTATTTGTTGGTAAAATTGTTGGTGACCTTATTATTTGTTCTAGTAGTATATACATGTCAATTGTCACTAATTAAGGACGGAGCTTGGTAGGATTCGTGATTTCGAACGAATTGAGTAGCTTTTTTATAGATCTTATATTTGTATTTATTATAACTTGTGAACCCCTAACAAAATTGATTAACAACTCAATAATAAGAAAAGGAGAAAAATTAGAATCCCCAAACTCTTAATAGTGGTTCCGCATTCGGCTATAATAAACTTCAAAACCTCTTTCATCTTTTTCTAGGGACACGTGTGTCCATGCATGTTACATGCAGAAAATAAAACAATCTCCTTACACGTGTCATTTAACTCCATCTATCCATGTTTAATTAAACTTTTTCCAATATTTTTCCCCTCAAAATTAACTAAAATACATTCACTCCACTTTCCTCCTCCGTGCCTGCAACAATGGCTGCTCGGCCACCCAATTATTTCTTCAATAATACTCAAACTCTAAGGCCAATTCGCACCTCATTCCTCCACAAACTGCTACAACCTCACATCCCTAATTCTTCTCATCAACTCATGGGTTTTTTAACCCTTGTTATCTCCGGAGGAATTTTGCTCCTCCTCACTGGCATCACTATAACGACCATAATCCTTGGGTTAATTTTCTTCACTCCATTGATCCTCATCACTAGTCCTATTTGGATCCCACTCTTCATCGCCGCTGTTGGATTTTTATCCCTCTGCGGATTCGGCGCGGTAGCATTGGGCGCTGTAACTTGGGTGTACAAGTACTTCAGCACCAGGAGATCAATGGTAGACGATTATGATGATACCGCCGATGTGAAGGATTACGCTAGAGGATACCTTCAGTATTATAAAGTCATGAAGGATACAGCTCCCGGTGCTTAATTTTGGGGAAAACAGGTGGGAACTACAAGGTGAGAAATCGAAGATTCAAATAGTTAACCAACTGAACTACTGAGATTTTCTGTTCACACCTGAGTTAATTGTCGCATTCACCTCTTCTTTTTAATTTTTTGTTGCTGTTGTTGGGCTTTTGATGTTTAATTGGAATGTAACATTGTCCTTCTTTTTTTTAAAGTCGCGATCAAATTATTGTAACGTTTTCATTTTCCTTGGTATGATATTTTGTAGGAATTAATTATATATTGATCTTTGTTAGATTTTAACCTTATTATATGACTTTTTGTAGTTTTGTGGAATTTTGAGTTGTTAAATTGAATAAGTAACTTGTTTGTAATGTGACAAAAAATAATTAATACTCCAATATATACTTCTATAAATATATTGAGGATATCAAAGCACTACAGGAAATAGAAAAATATAGTATTAAATGCATGTCAACAAGTGCATAAATACCAATTATAAAGACAATAATTTAAATTAAACTAAAGGGAAATTAGTTATCTATTATAGAAAATTGCATTTACTAATTTAAAGTCTCTTTGAGGGAGTAAACATGTAATCTAAATACAGTGTTGACCGGATATGAACGTTTAAGTATCTTTGACTTGAGAGAGTAAATAGAAGTGTCATTTCCTTTAATTCTTTGGTCTCTATTCTTATTTTTCCCTCTCCCGTTTTGTAAATTTGAATTATAATTCATAAATAAGGTATCAAAATATTGGAAGTCGTTATATTAATAAATTACATATTTTTTATAAATAAATATTAGTGATTATATATCATTATGAGCTTTTATAAACACATGAGTTCTGAAGATTTATTTATTCAAAAAATCAATAATAACAATAACTAGTTATTCTTTAATATAATTAGAAGTTATTCTTTAATATAATTTTCTAATGTAAACACTGATTTTCGATCAAAATTTCAAATTGAGATCCAAAATCTTGTAACCAGATGCTTACTTTAGTGTCTATTTGGATTGACTTATTTTAGGTGTTTTTAAATAAAAATAGCTTTTAAGCAGTTTTGAAGTGATTAAGTAAAGTTATTAAAAGTGCTTATAAACACTTTAAAGCCAAAATAACAAAATAACTTAAAAGTCATAAGTTAGGATTGCTAACTTATCGCTTTTGGCTTATAATTTATAAGCCAAAAGCCAATCCAAACAGCCCCTTACTATACATATGTTTTTGGAGAAAATTCTACCACGCGAAAACACTCTTTAATGAAACTTTATTCTTAACAATCGGTAACTATAACCTCACCACTATATAAAAATACACACATACAAATAGCATACCCATATAAAAATATACACATACAAATTACATACTAAAAAATAATTTTAAATTTTACGATTTTAAACATGTAATAGTGATTGAAGATAACAGATATTATATTAAATGTTTTTTTTTAACATAAATGTTAAAAAAAAACATTCAATACAATATGTTTTATTTTCAATAACTATTACATGTCTAAAATCGTAAAAATATTAACTATTCCCGTTTTGTTTTAGATAAATTCATTTCTTTGGATCTTTTTTCAGTGGCTTATTAATAGCTTGAAAAATGATCCAAAAAAAACTTGGGATCGAGAAGAAGACTCCAATATTCATTTTATTTTCTTTATGTCGTTAAGCCTATTAGTGGTACCAAAAAAGAAAAGTTTGATTAATTTGAGGGGACTTAATTAAATAAGAATAGTTCTATTAAGAAGACTCCAATATTCATTTCATTTTCTTTACGTTTTTACTCTTTTGGAACTTAATTAAAATAGAAATAGAATTATTAGAAAGTACATTAAGATAACAATCAACTTAGCTGAAATTAATATTTTTTCCCCATAAATTCATCAACAAATCCTCCAATTAAATGGAGAATTCAAACGACTTAAATTCTGCAGCTTTGACTCCTAACCACATAATCAACCTAATTCCCTAATCACATAAAGTACCCACAGAAAAAGCTGCATGATGTTATCACTAATTAACTCATTTAATTAATTAATTAATTAATTTCTGAATGATCCGTTAACATAACAGGGCAAAGGACTACTCCTCGCCGATCTTACCGGCACCTCCGCCAATTGTTTCCCGTTCCGATCATAATAAATCACGCCGGAGAAATCCAACGGCTGACATTTATCGCCCATCAAAATCTCCTTCTGCCACAGCCCTCCATCGCCAAAATCCTCACCATTTTCACCTTCCTCATTCTTAGCTTTTTTCTTACGCATAAAATTAGTAGCCTTACCGCTTATCTTCGCCAGAAATTTCTTCGATTTCGCTAGCGATGAATTTTCACCTGATTTTTTGGTTTTGTTACTTCGGTTAGGTTTCTTCCTCCACATAGCCCAAAAGGAATTCACTGAGCCCATTAAGGCGACAACAAGACCATTCGAGGTGGCAGCAGTGGCGGCGGCGTCGGGAGCGGTGGAGCTGATGGCCGAAGTAGCGTTAGGTGGTAGGGGAACCATTGTTAATTTGTTAAGAGTGCTTAGAGGTGTGAGGGGTTTTATAAAAGAGACTGATTAACACAAAATGATGGATTAAGGGATTTGCTTAAACTAATATGATTTGACTGTAGATTTGATATTTGAAGGGAAAAAAAGGTAATTTATAGGGAAATTTAATTTACTATAGATTGTTTGGTCAAACTTATGAAATTAAACTTATTAGAAAATTTATATCAGTTTTCCAAAATATTTTTGGTCAAACTTATAAAATTAACTTATTCGGAAAAGTATATTAATTTTCCAAAGTATTTTTGATGAGAAGTTTACCTGTCTTAAATATTTCATGTGTAATCACTCCTTAGATATCAAAAGGAAAAGAGGTTTTCAAGTATGATATTTATAATTAATGGGGAATAAATATTTATTCACACTTAATATTTATATATTAAAATCAATAAATGCTAGACATATATTTTTTTCATATACAAAATATTTGCTTAATTATTTCTTCTATTTCATTATGTAATGATATTTGTTTGAGTATGAGAATATATTTTTAGAAAAGGATTTTTGAATTTTTTTTTAGTTTAAATTAAACAAGTCAAGTGTATTAAAAGTAAAATTATGAAAAAAGAAAATATTATCACTGTTATTCATTGGACAAATTAAAAATGAAAGTATTCCATGTAAAATAAGAAAGGGAAAGTACCACTACTTTAATTGATAAAAAATTTAAAATGGTTATTATTGTTAAAGTTAAATCGATTGATAAACACTTTATGCTAGAAAGTATTTACCAATTATATAATTATCTTATATTTTGAGTTAAAAAGACAAATTTAAGATTTAAATTTTATAGAGTTTAAACATAATATATTTTTGAAATAAAATAATTAGGGTTAGACAAGTTATTTATTATAATTTTAATTACGTGTACACTCCATGCATCATTATTTAGGGTCATATAACAGGACACAATGCATCGTTCAACCAAACTTATTTTAACCTATTTGTTAATATGATTCAAATATAAAAGATCTATAAATTAATTATATATATTATATTTAAATACAAAATCAATATAGTTATTATTTTGTGGACAAGATCATCTAAAGACATTGAACTAAAATTATCATTGCATAGGTGCTCTAATTATATATTTAGGTTTCACATTAAATTTTGATTAAATTAAAAATTGTATTAAAAATTCTCGTATTAAGGTATAAAGTACTTTTTAAAAAATAATAATTTTATACTCAAAATTCAAATTAAAAACATCTTATTATAAAAAATGAAAAAACACTCTTAACACTTCATTACAACTTTGATTGATTATTGAAATATATGTATAGTGTCCTCCATTCCATATAATAAAAAGGTCTCTAAATCCACTGCATTAAGATTTTAGACTATATATGGATCCTTTCTTATAAATCTAATTTTAGTACGAAACTACTAATTCAAACGTAGATTTTATTTTTTTGTTAATGAAATTCATACACGTATAAAGAAGCTAGTAAAAAGTATTAGAAATAACTATTTTATAATTATAAAATTAAAATAATATTTGAAGATATTGAAGTAAATTAAGTACAAACTAGTTGAGTACTCTGTAAATATAATACTCATAATATACCTTGTGTTTGACTAAATATTTTCGAAAAATAAGATTTTTCATGTTACGTGTAGGCTGTAGCTTAAATAAGAAACTTACACAAACACATCACTATTTAGAAATTCTTCAAGAAGCAATTATTATTTTTTTGTCTAAAATATTCCCAATAAACTCCAAATTATGAATTGAAGGCAACTGAATTTATTGGTTAGAGAAGTGGTTTCTGACTTCCCATAATGTCTCTATCATTTCATCCAATCATTTCTAAAATTGTTTATTTTGGTCTTTAGATAAATGGATAATGCCCAATACTAGGCAAACAATTAAAAAAAGAGAGTCAAAGATCATTATTTTGGCAATATATCCTAATCTTTGAGTATTTTCTTTTCATGTCAGTCAATTATAATCAAAGATGGTTATTTTAGAACATCTTTTGATTTATTTTAAGTGTTTTTTTAAATTAAATTAATTTCCAAGTACTTGTGAAGTCTTTGAGTGAATTAAAAAATATTTATAAATATTTTGTTTAAGCTAAAATGATAAAAATAAATTAAAAGTCAATTTAATCAGACTTTTAGGGGTCGTTTGATAGTTGGATAAAAGAAACAAGTTTTTCATGTATTAATTGTCATATAACTCATACAATGTTTGATGGGTAGATATTATAAATAGATTATTCATGTATAAAATTAATACGATGTTTGGTTGACAATTTTAAAACTCGCATAAGTAATACATATATATGTTATGAAGGAATTTATATATTACTTTATGCAAGATAGAAGGTGGATAACTAATACATAAATGACTAATTTTTACATTATTAATATCCTATATAAAATAATACACAAATTCATTTATAATGAATCCCTATATTACTAATATTTATATAACTCTAATCACCTACCAAACGACTTCTCAAAGCAAAATGGATATGGGCCAACGCGTCTTGGACCCTCAATGAGATACCTAACGGGGTCAGTCCACTTGGACCATCACTTCTAGTTCTAGATGTAGCCCAGACCCAACACA